GTAAATTATGACTATCAAAATTATCAAATTGGCTGCGATTGTATTTGTGAATGTAATAGGGATCCGGCTTGATGGTTACACTTTTATTTGAAGCTTTAGCATTCATGCAGCTTATCCCCGAGACATTCAAAGGGAAATGCGCAAATTGCAGCTAAACGTTTACGCATATGACAACATTACAAATTCTGTGGATGAATAAGTATTGTGTACGACTTCGATGAAAACATATGGAGGAACAACTTCGCATGTCAAGATGTACTTAGTATGGGTGAGCTGGCACTCACCAGAGCACTCCTGCACTTCACGTGTACCCGCGTCAAGCAGAGCTTGAAGGTAAACAAACAGCTGTTTTTCATAAGCATTTTATCGATAATTTTTAACACAGTTGGCACAGTTGGGCTATGTGTAAAAGAAGGGACATAGAAACATTACTTAACTAACATCTAGCAGCTAAATGTGCCTGAAAAAAATATTCAAAAGCTTTTATTTTCATAAACAGTGCAGATGTAAATGCGTCTGATTGTTCTGATTGGATGGAATAGATGTCTCACTTAAGCGCATTCTAAGCGTGACCACCCTTTTTCCAGCAATCTTCCTTCTGTGTTCACACAGCACAGCATTCCGGTAAATTACCAGTAATGTTACAACTTATCTTTCCGGAAAATTGCCGGAACAAATTTAAATTGAGGGTCATTTTCCGGAAAGGTCTGTATGTGTGAAAGGGGCTATCGGCTAAATTATAATTATACACGACAACTAGGGTTGTAACAATTACCGGTATGACGGTCTACCACGATTTGAACGTGCACGATTATCATACCATGAACAATTGCATATCAACGGTTTTAACCCTTAAAGGCCGAGACAGCCGCCTGCGGCTAAAAATAAGTATTGCTCTTTAATGTTTAATAACTTTTGATCCGCTGATCCGATTCATACAATTCAAAGATTGGCATAAAGAAGAGAATCTCAGCTTTCCAGTGCTGTATCACATAACATTCGGACTTTCAGAGGCTCCAGAATCAGTGCGGTTACGTCATCAAAATTTGACAACGCTGATTTGACAAAGAAACGCTCGTCACTGTGTCTCCGGACAAACCAGACATGATACATTGATGCATTGTCCCTCCTCCATGCCCAGATTGGTTCAAACTCGCTATATCACAACCAATAAGCATAGGTTTCGCTTTTGTTTGTGGACCAACAATGAGCTTTTTGAACAACACGGAATGAGAGATAGGCATACATTTATGCGCGGCTAAATAAAACGCAAAAAAAAAAGTTTTGCATGAAATAATTCTCATACTAAGTACTTTTGCATGCACAGCAGCACAGAAACATGACAAAACAGTGACACAGCAAAGACGAACTGCTGCTCTTGCTGTTTTCAAAAGACGCAAATGAAGGTGCAGCTGTTTGTCTGCATTGCAGACAACCATATCCAAATCCATATCCACAGACAACCATATCCATGCTGGCACATAAAACCTAAGGATGTTCCATATTGAATCTAGTTTCGTTATGTAACCATTTATAGTATAGTAAATATTTATATCTATTTTTTTACTGAGGATTTGCACCATGTTTATTTGGACTTTATTTGGACTTTGAAACATTATTTATTATTTTCTTATTTTTTTATTTGTTCATTGTAAGTGGTGTTGTTTATAGTAACTGAAAATATATTATTTGGAAAAAGTCAAATTTGCTTCACTGTTCTATTATTTTGTAACATTTGTAACATATCGTATACCGCGAAACCGTCAAACCGTGGTATTGTTTTAGACGATTATCATACAGTAAAAAATTCAACAAGTTACAACCCTAACGACAACAAAGTTGTATTTATAGTTGTATTTTCAAGCTTTTACGTATATGAAACAGGCAGTGATTATTATCAAGTATTATGAAGCTTGTTAGCGTTCTTTCAGCCCAGAAGATAAACAATAAGAGCAAAGTGATATGACACCATGTATGAATGTGCATTAATAAAGAATTAAGATGTGTAAATTGTGATTTGTTGCTATTTTTACGTTTAATTTTTACGCTTTGCGCCACGTTGCTTAAATAGCAAATTTTGCGCCACTTTGTGCACTCATGGGTGTTCCGGTCTGAAAAGGAGTTGTGTTAAGGCGCATTGGCGCGTTGCTATGTTGAGGAACTAAAATAGACTGCGCCATTGACCAACTAAAAGCTGGTCTAAAGTCAAGCACAGAACCTGTTAGTTATGCTCCTATGCAGGTCAAAACACTTACACATTGCTTAATACACACAGGATGTACAGCAATACATTAATCTCTTTTACATATAAAAAAATTAAAGATTAAAATATAATAAAAACAATTATTTTCTACATAAATTATAAATGTTATTATTATTAGCAGCAGTATTATTTTATAAGCATGTATATATTTGTTTAATATTTGATTGATGGAGACGTATGCATCACCATATGGGGCATAAGAATAGGTTATAAGAGTGCATAAGACTGTTTGAATATAATTCAGTTTCTCACACTTGGTTATAACTGTTAATTTATTCGCTTGCTGGAAATTAAAACTGAATTTAGGAATAGTTTTAAAACAAATCTTTGCACTTAACAAACAAAATTAAATATGTAGGCTAATGGATGTCTTCAGTGGAGTGCGTACAACACCATTTCCTTATCTACGAAAGAAAAGGAGTAAAGAGTAAAGGGAAAGTAAAGAGGCCAAACTGTATTTTTACTTCCTTAAACAGCAAAAGTGGATTCGGGCACACCCCTAATCCTTTTGCGACATGCGCTTTAGACTTTGCACCTGGATTGTTCAAATAGAGCCCTTAGACACAGCAGTTTACATGTGTCTGTTGCCTCATCCCAAACATACACTGCAAATTTGAAAATATACATAAAATTATAAAATATAAAAATATAAAAAAATTAAATATTAATTTGAACAGATGGTTTTGGCACTAAATACATTTATGATCTCTAAATCCTGCATTTTGTGTTCTGTTTATGAAACACAGGCAGTATTTATTATCAACCTCTGCATAAACAGATAAATCATACGAAGTTTGTTAGCATCCTTTCAGTCCAGAAAAATATACAGTAAGAGCAGAGTGACATGACACCATGCATAAGCATTATATTCAGCAGTTTACATGTGTCTGTTGCCTCATTGCAAACATACGCGCCACGTTTCACAATGTTAAAGTCACAAAAGTTACATTTAAATAGACGTCTTTGGCGCTGAATAATTTTCAAATCTGTATATCCTGATTTTTGTGTTCTGACAAGCTGTAAACACTCTGTGCTCATGCATGGCTGCCTGCTTCACTCTTTTAGTTTTCCTTAAAGCCTGTCTACCATAATCAAAATACAAGTCATGTTTAAGGCTGTACTGTTACATGTACTGTTTAAGGCACCTTCAATAGAAAAAAATTTGTTTTTTTGGTTTTGTTTTTTAAGAAAGTTTGATTTCAAACACTACATAAACACTACTTTTTTTATACACACTACATTTGTTAGTTTTGGAATGTGTCTTGTATTGTAAAGTGTTACCAAAATTTAGCTGTATCTTTATGAGAGAAAACAGTCACAGTTTACAAAAAGGGTCCAGAAATTATTTTATTTACTAACACAGGGGTAGCCAACCCCGTTCCTGGAGAGCCACCTTCCTGCAGATTTCAGTTGCAACCCATATCAAACACACCTGAACCAATTAATTAGGACCTAAATACCACGTGATAATTACAGGCAGGTGTGTTTGATATGGGTTGCAACAGAAATCTGCAGAAAGGTGGGTCTCCAGAAACAGGGTTGGCCACCCCTGTACTTACATGAGCTAATATCAAACAACAATTAATTTATTAATACATAGACAGAATTTATTAATCATTGTTATGCATTTACTGATCCATTATTAAAATCCAAAGTTGTGCTTGTTAGCATTGGTTAATCCACTGTAAGTTAACAAGAAATAACAACTTTTTTATGATGTTAACAAATATGACTAAATATTACTTGAAATGCACATTGTTCATTGTGGAAAAACCAATATAGAGAGATCAATTATAATAAAAATCGATTAAAATATAATATAAATGTAAAAAAACTGTAATAAAATTTAAGCCAATAATGATGACTTTAATGCTAACTTTAACTTTAATGATTTTGAATATAATATTTAGTCACAAAAATAAATAATAATAATAATAATAATAATAATAATAATAATAATAATATTTAATTGCATTGACTTAATTCTAATAATATAATATATTATAATATAATATAATATAATATAATATAATATAATATAATATAATATAATATAATATTTCGTTTTTTATATTTTCTATATGATGCTTTATAATAATATATCTGTGCCTAGACATTAGATTAGTCAGTACTGAAGCCCAATCTTATGATAACAAAACTTATAATACAGTCCAAAAATTAGTACACCCAAATGTATGTTATGGGAAAATGCTAAATAAAAAAGAAAGAAAAATCAAGAGAAACACAAAATAAACACATTTTGTTAAAATGTTGTGGTTTAAACTTGAACTTAGGTGTATTATCCTTTCATTTCTAAAGATGTTTGGTGACTAAAAATATTATTTTAATAATTATATCTGTTTAATAAATCTGTCTCAAATGCACCAAAATGTATTATTTATATTCACTGACCAATAAATTAAAATATAAATATTCAAAACAAATATGAGCAAACAATACAATTGCATATGTTGAATGTGTTAGAAAAAAAATATCCGACTACATGATGGTGCTCACATAAATGCAGCAGTGTTGAACCCATTATTACACAGCACTTCTTATGAAACATTTCTAATAATAACAATAGTGTACAACAAAACATAAATATACCTGATAAACATATGGAAATCATTACTGGTGAGTCATAGAAAAGAAACAGATGATGAACGACACATTCAAAATGATCTTTAAAAAGAAACTATTTCAAGCCAATACCAACAGAAAAATGACACCCCTGACCACAGCGCTTGTAGAATTGGCTCACTTGTTGCTATGAGAACAGCGTGATCTTGTAGAATCTGGTGGTCTTGTAGTTAATGTTACACTTATAATGTACTCTCTTAATATTTGCTGTATATTGTGGATATTTGCAGCATTCCTGGAAATGGCCTCTTACCGTGAAACTGTTGTTGATATTCTTTGTACTTGATTCGGCAACACTGGCATCTGAAAGGTCCACCTCATCGAAAATAAGAGACTGTGAACGGGAGAAAAAGGAGAACAGTAAACATCTGCATACAGGAAAACCAAGAAATCTTACAGTTCTATTGAAATGACACAAAAATGAGCTTATTGTGCTACTCCTTATCTTATGCACTAACATGCATGTACACTATATGAGTTTAAGATGGATCGCAGACAGCTGGGTTTGTCAAGACCTCCTTCAGCAGCGCAGAAAGCAGAAAATCAAAGCCTGAGTTAAAATGCCATACATCTACAATGCTACAGTGACAGAGTACGAGGTCAGCCACTTTGAATGTTAGCACTCGATTAAATGGGCGGTATCAGTGGTTATCAGCTGATAGATATGGGCCAGTAGGGGCCTTCGGCGCCTACAGGAATATGCTCAGAAGGCGGTTTTCATGCCTCCACATGGTTAATCAGCTATAGATCATATATGGCTGCAGCCATAATTAACTATAATTATTTATATTATTTATTAAATTACCCATTAATTGTTTTTTATTAACGTCTACCCCAACCCTAAACCCAACCGTTACAGTAATGTAAAAACAGATCTGGGGCCTCATGTATCAACGCTTCATACACACAAAAACTTTGCGAACGTCAGTGTGGCGAGGGGGCAAGGCTGAGAGCCGTGGGAACTAGTGATGGGACTGACTCGGATCTTTGAGTCTCGTTCATCAAGACGAACAAATCTTTTTTCGAGTCATTTCGTTCATTTGATTCAATTTGCCAAAATATTATTAAAATGTTACGAATTGGTTCTAAACACATCACATAAGTCATAAGTAGAATATAAGAAGGAAAAAATAATAATTCAATGTTTACCTGCTCTTTTGTCAATGAAGGCATTTTTGTCTCTTTGCTTAGCTCTTTATGTCTTCAAATGTCAGGGGTCCATTTACGTTACACTGACAGTCACATATAATCTTAATCAATGCACAGTCTAAGCCGATAGGAGCCATGATCGTTCGTTTATCACGTGACAGAATGACTCAAACCGGATAGAGGACTCGAGAGATAAACGGTTCAATTCTTTTTCCGGCTCTAAATGCGTATGATTGGCCCGTGAGGAATGAGTGAAGCCTGGTTTATACTTCTGCGTCAAGTGACCACCGTAACCCACGGCGCATGCAGTGCCCGTAGCTGTGCATTTATACTTCTGCGTGCTGTCTCTGTTGGTCTGCATTACACTTCCGAAACGCTAGTGGGCAGTGAGGTGTTAATGCTCCTCTGTGTCGAGTTTCTTCGCTGCTGTTTTGCTTTTCCTGAACACTTCCAGAATGTTCAAGTGGCTCAAACTCGCTCATTTTGAGGCAGGAACCAGGAGAGGTGCAACAGCTTTAACTATGAGGTAAAAACAAAACAAAACTTTCCATCCGGAGCTCCTTCACGGGACTCCACACTTGTAAACAATCGCTCCCAAGCGATACCAAGCCGACCAATCACAGAGCTTACGCTACGCGTTGTTGCGACGTGTAGTTACATTTTTTGAGAGGTGCATGTCAGCGACGCCAACGGCCACGGTGAAGGGCTATGCGTCAACGCCGTAGCATACGCGTGCGTTTGACGCAGAAGTACAAATCAGCCTTAACTCAGACCCGAGGACTCGAGAGATGAACGGATCAATTCTTTTTCCGGCTCTAAACGCATATGATTGGCCTGTGAGGAACGAGTGACTCAGACACGATAAAGGGCTCGAGAGATGAATGGATCAATTCTTTTTCCGGCTCTAAACGCGTGTGATTGGCTCATGATGAACGAGAGACTCAGACCCGATAGAGGACTCGAGAGGTATCAATATACAGCATTTACTAATGCTACCCCGCCACATATATCCTATATATATATATATATATATTAAGGGTGTCACGATCCTCCAAATCAGTGGTCACCAAACTTGTTCCTATTATATCCTATTATATTTTAGCTCCAACCCTAATCAAACACACCTGAACAAGCTAATCAAGGTCTTACTTGGTATACTTGAAACATCCAGGCAGGTGTGTTGAGGCAAGTTGGAGCAAAACCCTGTAGGGACACCGGCCCTCCAGGACCAGGATTGGTGACCCCTGCTCCAAATCCTCGATTCGATTACATTTTCGATTCTAAAGGCACGATTCGATTCGATTTTCGATTATGAATAATTAATTAATGACCAATTAATTATTTGTAGCCTACCGTTTAAACTACCTGACCTGCATGGTCTTTGTTTTACCCATAAACAAATCATACAGTAAATGAATAAAGGCAAGATACACACATAATTACCACCTGTCAATCACTTTTTCTGCGGGACTCGTGAATAGGCAGTGATCTGTGTCATTATAATGGCGTCGTTAAAAAAGACGCACAACCAACAGGAACCAGCCAACAGTATCTGAGGTGTGCGCTAAAATGACTAAGTACAAGTGAGTGAAAGATTGAAGCAGTCCTCTGACTGCCTGGACCTGCTGTCTCGAGCGCATACTGTGACTGTGTGGTCACGTGATGTGCATTTTCAGAGGTAGAGAGGAAGAAGGGCTGCTCAGAAATGCTACACGCCACTGTGGATGTCAAATTGTTGTCGTTCTAAAATGCCATTTAAAAACAAAGACAGTGTAAACAGGGCCTGAGTGTGTACTTTTCGCGAGCGGATTTGCAACGGGGACGGGCGGAGGATCGCGATGCCGGTGTTGTCTATCGGACGAACCGTACGTAATACGTACATAGCAGAGCTTGCAAAACTGTGTTGTTTTTTTTGTCGACATATCTCACTAGAAATCCAAAATGCTTACACACCGGCGACTTCATTAAAAGAGGAGAGGGTTTGAGTTCTGTCGACGGGTCTCCTGCTTCTGCAGTTTAACAAGCACTTCAACAAGCCTGTTTTTTTCCCGCTTGGCAAGCCAAGCTGACGTGACATGGGGGCGTGGCAGCATCAACGATTAAATTTTTTGATTCGATAATCAAAATTGAGCATAAATTTCGATCGATTTCGATTAAAAATCGAAATCGTGACACCCCTAATATAAAAATATATATAATCAATTTCATATATAAACTCCAAGAACACATACGAATTTGAAGCCCAATGTATTTCCAAGCTTCCTGACATATCATTTCAATAGCTTCTCTAAATCCTCAATGTGTTGGGTGTTGATTGGCAGACACTTGAGTAAATGATGGTTGTATACTCAGTGAGTGTAAACAGTGCGCCACCTTATTTATGATCTGTAGGTTTGGCAGGTCTACAGCATGAAGTGCAGGCCTCATAGTTGACAAACCCCAATGCCATGCCAATGCAAACAAAGCCCCCTGTGTCTGCGGAGAGCAGCACGATCAGCCTGTGAGGTCTGTGCTGTAACTCCCAGCTCTCTGACACAACACGCTAGTGCCACTCCATGTCATTCAGGAGTTATGCAGGAAATGCTGCTTTGCCTTATGTCATGGCACATGCTCAGCTATGGAACTGGTGTTTTATTTCGGACTGAATTCAAAGGAACGGCTCTTATTAGCCTGTTTGATTTTCATCCTGAACACAAAAAAGATATTTTGAAGTAGCATTTGTTTTCAGCTTTCTTCAAAATATCTTCTTTTGTGTTCAACAGAAGAAAGAAAATCATTAGGGTTTATAACCACTTAAGGGAGATTTAATAGTGAGCCATTTTTACATCTTTAATCATAGAAACTAAATAAACAATATATTGTGGATTGTCACTTAATTGAGCACATTTTGAAGGAATAAAAAAGGAAAGCCGTGGACTTAATCAAAAAAATATAGATTAGACCTATTTTTAAATAAACAAAGAAACTGAAAAAGGGTTTCAGGACAACTTGGCAAAATAAAAGTTCGGTGACAGAATTTACTGTTGGACCAGGGGTACACAAATTCATGTTGTAATCGCCCCTATACCCTTAAAAGGGATAATTCACCCATAAATGATGATTAAAACGTGGTTGTAAACCTTTATAAGATGTTTTCCCAACAAAAAAAAAAAATAAAATTGGAGCAAAAAGAAAAAGTGGAACAAAAATCATTAATGATAAATATAAATAAACCATTGGGAAGGGATACCTTAGATCAGGGATGTCCAGATTCGGTCCTGAAGGGCCGGTGTCCTGCAACGTTTAGTTTCAACCCCAATCAGACACACCTGGGCTAACTAATCAAGCTCTTACTAGGCATTCTAGAAACATTCTTGCAGGTGTGTTGAAGCAAGTTGGAACTAAAATCTGCAGGATGCCGGCCCTCCATGACCGAGTTTGGACACCCCTGCCTTAGATGGTCGCCTTGTAAAATTAGTGGCCAGTTGTTTGACAGAACCAGTCATATTTTTTATGTGAGTATTAATGAAGGGATTTTTCTATTAGCTTGGAAAGAAGCAAAGGTTATTCCTTTACAGAAAAATGCAGCAGAGTTTTAGTGGGGCTAATAGTCGACCAATAAGTTTATTGCCAGCTCTTTGTAAAGTGTTTGAAACGATAGTGTGTGAACAAATTCAATTAACTTTTAAGGCAAACAATTTATTCTCTGACTTTCAGCATGCATATCAAGTAGGACATTTAACTGGAAGAGTATTTACACAAATAATTGATTGTTTAGTACAGATTGATGATAGTAATTTAGAAGAAACGGTATTGTTGGCTTTTAGCTCTGATTATGATGTACAGAATCATAAATTATTGCTTGAAAAATTAAAATGTAATAAATTTACTTCTCAAACTGCATTGGTTTAAAAGTTATCTGACTAGTAGGAGGCGATGTGTATTTTTTAATGGAAGTTATTCAGAAGTGAAAGAGTTGCAATGTGGTGTGCCTTCAGGAATTTGCTGATTTTTTATTTTTTTACCAATGATTTTCCTTTGGTTTTAAAGCATGTAAGGGCAGTTATGCATGCAGATGATACAACATAATATCTACCAGTGCCATTATTAAAAAAAAATGTATATCTGCTGATTTAGATGAAGAGCTACAGTTAGTGGTAAAGTTCATACAGAATAATGAGATGGTTTTAAATTTGACAAAAAACTAAAGTATTTTGTTTGGATCCAACTTTCAATTTAAATGTAAACCACAATTAAATTTGTCTGTAATGAGTGTGTCTATTGAACAGGTAGAGGAAAAACAAATCGATATAATGGTAATAGTTATGGGAAGAGGTTTATCAATTATTAAGAGAGACGTGTAAAATGTTTTACCACAGTACTTTATCTCTCAAAATGTTCAGGCAATGGCTCTTTCTTATCTAGATTACTGTCCCATGGTATGGTCAAGTTCATCAAGTAAAGACTTAGCTAAATTACAGTTAGTCCAGAATAGGGTGGCACGACTAATTTTATACAGCAATAGAAGAGTTAATATTATAAAAATGCATAAAAATTTGGGTTGGTTATTGGTGAAGAATAGGGTAATTGTTTCTCTGTTGTGTTTCATGAGAAATATTTCTGTGTCAAGAGTTCCAAGTGTATTGTCTGTCAACTTTTGTATAGTAATGCTAGTCATCATTTTAACACCAGGCATGCATAACTTGACTTCAACTGTATATAGTTTTGCCTTGCCTTAAAGAGTGAATGAAAGCAGTGCACCAGAAAGCATTGGTGTTTTGTTTGTATTTTGCTAGTTGAGGAATACCTCAGATGGATTAGAACTTCTTTACTTCTTAGTTACCCTGTGATTATACTGTCAGTGAGCTGTCTATTAGTAATACAACTAAATATTTAGATTTATGTCATTTATACATTTAATTCATACATTTTATGTCATTTATATCTTAATTTACTATTACTATGGGTTTAGGGGGTGATTTCAGATTCAGCTGAAATTTCCAGACAGCTGTGTTTAAAGCAAAACTCTTTAAGGCATCTATGTTTGGACATCAAAATATAACAAATATTATAAATATTATTATTTATTCCATGTTTTCATTTTAAATGTAAATCTTTGTTGTTTAGCATTTTATAGAGCAGTGTTTCTCAACCACGTTCCTGGAGGACCACCAAAATTGCATGTTTTGGATGTCTCCTTTGTCTGTCACAACCATTACAGGTCTTTCTATCTCTGCTAATGAGCCGATGATCTGAATCAGGTGTGTTTGGTTAAGGAGACATGGAAAATGTGCAGAGCTCATCCAGGAACGTGGTCGAGAAACACTGTTATAGAGCCTTTTATAGAAGATATAGAATAATATTACTTCTTTATTAATGATAATTGTAATATTTGTATATTTTTTAAAATAAATAAATACATTTAATAATTTGATTTGTTTATTAAAATTTAATGAAACCATTAAAAATAAGTATTATAGTGAAAAAATCAATAAGAAAAATAAAAATAATACAACAAAAATGTAAGTTTGTTTAACTTTTAATAAATTGCTGTTTTCTTATTTAGAAATATTTTTTATTTTAAAACGAAAAGAAGAAAAAATTGGGGGAGAAAAATTGAAAAACAAAACATTTGTGTAACCACAAGAACCAGTGCAGCTGAATAAGCAGAGAACGTATGGATGAAGACGAAGACTTTCAATGCGAGGCTTGCTTTAAGGTGGTGTGTTCAAACTCAGGAGTTGTCTTGGAGAGTTTGGCTCCAACCTTAATCCAACACACCTAAACCAGTTACTCAAGCTCTTACTAGATATACTAATAACGTCCTGGCAGGTGTGTTGAAGCAAGTTGGAGCTAAACACTGGACACTGGCCCTCCAGGACTGAGTTTGGACACCACTCCTTTACACCACTCCTTAATAAAAGCATCTCTCCTAAGACACGGACAATAACATACAAGATACAAGACTCCAGGACTCTCCATCCTCCTTTTCAGATGCGTAAACAGACAAGCAGATGCAAAAGAAACGGCATGATGTCGCTTCGGTTTTGCCGCAGACAAACTTTTCTCGCTCAATGAGGAGAACGAGCGTCTGGAAGAATGCCAGGCATGGTGATGGGCGGTCGGCAATGTCATTGATGATAGATTAAAAGGGTGGGTCGCTGTTGTTGCTGACCCGAATCGCCACCAAGCCTTCCTCCGATCCACTGGCGCCAAGAGCGGGCGGCGGACGGCGGGCACCGGTCCAGCACACGGAAAGCACCCTCCAGCACACGCGGCTACGAGAGACCCGATACTGCCAGCGGGCCAAAACGCCACCCGCCTGCCATAGTGCAACCACACACATACACACAGTGACATTAAAGGCATGGTGCTCTGCAGGTGCCCAAATGTGAAGCTTTTCAGCCCATCTCAGCTCAGGCATGCCCAGTAGCAGACGTCCTGGGAGAAACCAGGGTCAAGCAAATCATACCAGCCCCTTACTTTGATTCATTATAAGAAGATTAAAGTGACAGTTCACCCAAAAATGAAAATGTACTCACTATTTACTCACCCTCAAGTGGTTCTTAACCTTTATGAGTATCCTTTTTCTTTTGGTCACAACAGGAGACATTTTGAAAAAGTTGTAACCATTGACTTCTATAGTAGGAAAATCAAATACTATGGAAGTCAATACTTCTAGCTTTCTTCGAAATATTTTCTCTTGTGTTTAATAGAAGAAAGAAACTCTTAAAGGTTTGAAACACATAAAGGGTGAGTAAATGATGGCGGAATTTAGATTTTGGGGTGAATTATCCCTTTAATGTACACTGTAAAAAGTTATTAAACATATTTACACTATTTTGTACTAATTAAGTGAGCAAAAGCAGTTACTTAAGATTAATAGATTGGATTTTTTTTTACAGTGTAGTAGTGAAAGTGTAGATTCAGATATAATTGGAAAACTACAGCAGGCCTGTGTGGTGGAAAAGTCACCTTGGCATCCTTAGCATAGTAGAGCGTCCGTCCTCGTAGCTTGAAATAACGTTTTTTCCAACGCTGGAACGAGCTTGTCTGTTTCAGAAGAAGCCCTTCCTTCACGCTTGTCTGCAGAGAAGGCAGAAAAGCAGAAAAAGAAAGTCAGGAAACATTTTAACCATTTATTCTCAATCTGCACACAGCAACAACATCACCAATAGTAATGAACAATTTAGCTCGGTTTCAAAACCACGTTCTGGGTGTCCTGGTACATAACCATCCTTTTCAGTGTACGTCTTTCTGAACAAATAGTGTTGTTTAAACTACTGCATATTGTGTGGAGATTAATATGAAACATTTTTACAAATCAGTGTTGTTTATTATAGTTGCCATGGAGTGCATTGATTCAGTATGCTAAATTATTAATTATACGGATATTTACATAGTAAGTATGTGGCTTAGGTATGTTTAATAATAATTTTAAAAAGTTTATTTGCTTATTTAAAAACACGGGATTTATCCTTAGAATGAAAAGCCTGTTTTTTTCCATATTAGGAATAGTCATGAATATTAATGAGCTCTCCTCTGATACAAAGCAGCTCATTACACAGATGCAAAATACATGCAAAATAATCAGAACAGTTAAGTTTTAAAGGGCACATAGTCTACCCCTTTTTTATGATTTAATATTAATATTATGGTTCTTTTGAGTGTGCCAGTTTAGGTTCACTTCAAAACAAAGTTCAGATTTTTTTTATTATAATGTGTTAAAAAGTGTAATTTTTTGGGGGGGTGGAGGGGGGGGGCGGTTGTACACAGGTTGCTGTTTTTGGGGTGTGTTGCTTCACATGAAAATTAGTTTCGACTTCCCGCCCAACGTAACAAGGGGGCAGAGCCAAGAGCTTCCCCGCTTTGTGTTTGGCAACAGACAGGCAGACAGAGAGAAGCAACATGAGTGAGAGGATCAGCATTTAGCCGTACATGCACGACTCGGACATAGACCAAGCAGAGAGTACAAAATAATTTCTGTCTTTGTATAGTTTTAGAGCTAACTGTGTGCTAGTTTAAAGTTCCGAGATTGTACACCGAGACTAATAACCACGCACACTGAATTAACTTTGACTGAGGCACCAGATGCGCCGCTAGGAGCTGCGGCACAGTACACCAGACACGCATTCGGATGTCATTTAATATGAAAATATTGATATGGCGCTCTGTGGCGCGGCAGAAACATGGATATCATAAATCATGAATGGGTGCCGCGAACAGCCGCTGACTTGAAGCGCCATTGTGTGTACCCTGATAGAAACATATGTTTAGAGTTCTAAAATTAATGGCGTTGCATAACGGCACTTCGGCACGACCTGCAGGCAAGTTCGTAATTTTATTTCCAACGGAGAAACGCATACGTGAGCCAACGCACTCGCACTTTCCAGCTGCACCTAGTTAAGATCACAGGAAGCTTCTGTAAGAAATGGAAACCTTTAAGGTAGACACAATGAAAAGTACACGTTTGCAAACCCACCTAAAGTTACAAACAATAATTCCAATTAGTGTTGTAGCCATGTGCTGAATGTTGATCTTGTGTTGAGCCCAATGAGCCTTACATCTAAAAATAGAGCAAGGGTGTTCCTTTCGTAACATCGCTTTAACTCACACGCTAATATGTGGTGTGAAACAAAAAACTGAGCATATGGTGATGCGCACCTGGTGGGCAGGAGGACCGCACTTCTAAGTCAAGTTGAGGTCGCTCTAAAAACCGCTCCAATTGGTCCACCGTTTTTATGTTGTTAAATTGAAAAAAAAATGCATAGCTGCCTGAAAATTTATGCTTTTTCATCTGCATGTCACTCTCGTTTTCAAAATAAAAGTCCCATATTGTGTTATCCCTGTATCTGTAGTTACACTCAGTAAACAACCATCAGGGTCAATCACAGTTATTTCTATTGAGCACGTGAACACAATAGCAAATCAGCGCTGTCCAAATCAGGCAGTCAACAGTGCTCAAATGTTTCAGTACTAATTGTTATAGAATTCCAGTATCGTGACAACACAAGTTCCATATATATAGAATGTTAAATAGTTTGTATGTTTAATAAGTAATATAATATGTGTAATACAATCTTTGATCAATTTAAAAATAAGGAGGGGGAAATCAATGTTTGTATCTCACCAGAAAACATTGTGTCCAATCAAACAATGCTAGTGTGTGCATATGTATGATCCCATGTGGATCACTAGAGTTGGTGTTTTGCTCTGATTGTTTTGGTTTTCACCGAACAAGGAAACAATGGTGTTTGAGGCTCACAGTATGCCATGTCCATGAACTTAACTCTTACTCTTCAGCCATGCCCAGTTAAATCCAGATTTTCATTCTACTGCACCTTTAACCTTTCACTGACATCAATAAATGAAAGCCATGTTTCTTTTTTTGTCAAATGGAAAAGTTTCCTCTTTCTGTCATTTCCTGTGGATATATTCATAGCAGAGCTGAGTGACATGAAACAGACGGTGACATAAAACAATCCTCTGTCCAACAAGCTAGTCAAGCAAGTTAAATTATACCCTTGATATACGAGCTGTTCCTACACACGCACCATCCAATTATATCCCAGCACCATAAACAATGTTATAAGGTACCAAACAAAGCGGCGGCATGTGAGGCTTGACATAAGTGTAAAGGAAGCAGAATTTGAAACTTGATATTAGCTCTGGACGTCCACAGGGACATGTGCAAAGTGCCAGAGGAAGGAACAGGAAGTCTTGCCAAGATCAAGTGTGCTTCAACACCAATTTCATGCTCGAGAGCGGAAGACAAGGATATTTGGTGACCCTTTAAGCTGTTTTAGAAATAACCCTAAACTCAAGATGGATTCAATAAAAAAATGTATAATAAATAATAAAATAAACACTTATAGTCTAAATCAGGGGTCACAAATCTTGGTCCAGGAGGGCCGGTGTCCCTGCAGGGTTTAGCTCTAACTTGCCTCAACACACCTGCCTGGCTGTTTCAAGTTTACCTAGTAAGACCTTGATTAGCTTGTTCAGGTGTGTTTAATTAGGGATGGAGCTAAAATCTGCAGGACATCGGCCCTCCAGGAACAAGTTTGGTGACCCCTGGTCTAAATTTTACTGTTAAGCTTCCAACATTGGCTCATTCTGAAAACGTACCCCAATATACATTTCTGGAGATGGCAAAAAATAATGTAATAAATTCTGGGTTGGGTGAGGCAGTGGTGCAGTAGGTAGTGCTGTTGCAGAAGGTTGCAGGTTCGAGCCTCGGCTGGGTTAGTTTGCGTTTCTGTTTGATGTTTGCATGTTCTCCCTGCGTTTGCGTGGGTTTCCTCCGGGTGCTCCGGTTTCCCCCACAGTCGAAAGACATGAGGTACAGGTGAATTAGGTATAGGCTAAATTGTCCATAGTGTATGAGTGTGAGTGTGTGTGTGTGTGTTTCCCAGAGATGGGTTGTGGCTGGAACGGCATTGGCTGCGTAAAACCATGCTGGCTAAGTTGGCGGTTCATTGCGCTGTGGCGACCCCACATTAATAAAGGGACTAAGCCGAAAATTTTCTGGGTTGTCAGTTTCCCAACGCTGTTTTAAATTAGATTAACTTTAATTTAGCAAATTGAATAATCGCCTAACTGAATTATTATATATCATTACATTTTAATTACATACATTTTATTACATGAATTTGGCAGATTTTGTCTTTTAATTGCAAATACAATAAGTGCTCATTCTCAGCACTTATGTATGTAAATATATTCATAATATAATTTAATCCAGTTACACGTTGGTTGTGGAAATTAGGGCTGCATGCACAATATACAGTTGAAGTCAGAATTATTAGCCCGCTGAATTATTAGCCACCCTGTTTTTTTTTTTTTCCTAATTTTTTTTTCAACACATTTCTAAACATAATAGTTTTAAAAACTCATTTCTAATAACTTATTTATTTTATCTTTGTCATGATGACAGTAATTAAATTTTACTAGATATTTTTTAAGACACTTCTATACAGCTTAAATTGACATTTAAAGGCTTAACTAGGTTAATTAGGTTAACTAGGCAGGTTAGTGTCAAGTTGGAGGTTAGGAAAAGGGAGCGAGGACTCAGGTGCAGCAAATAATGGGTTTTTATTAAGAATAAAATAAAAACAAAAAGGCAAAACAAACAACCCCGAGGGGGAAAACTCTAATAAACAAATAAACGAACAAACAAACTTGACTAGACTGGCAGGACAAGACAGGGCTGGACACAACAAGACAGGAAACAATCGACGACGAACTGGCAAAGGACTGAAAACATGAGGGGGATTATAAAGCAAAAAGTAAATTGACACACAGGTGAACACAATTAACTAATAATGGGTTAACAAGGAGGGTGGGACTAGACAATAGACGGGAGAGCGCATGACACAGAGAGACAATACAAGCCATGCGCTCACATAACACAACACTGAAGCACACGACAAAAACACGTGACCACAATGTAAACACTGAGCCACGTGCTTTGACAAAAGACGCAAGACACGAGCACATGATGAATGAAAACTCACCGTGCGCTCACATATGCAGCATGCATGCTTCATCCCAGCGCCGACCAAAACCGAAACCAACAAGACTGAGACGCTGGGAATGAAACACCACGCTGCTGACAGACGAAAACACAAACACGAGTACAAGAGCGCACGCGTCTGCGTCAAGCAGAAGCGCGCACACTCTGCGTACTCCCACAACGGCGCGCGCGCACACAGAGACAGAAACAGGACCAGACATTAGTAGTGTCAGCGCTCTGCCACCAAAACAAGAATTTACAAGACCAAAGTGGCAGAACCCTGACACTAGCCCCCCCCCAAAAGGGATGCCACCTGGCGTCCCTAAAGAGAACATCCAACAAGGTACAAGACAGACAAGAAACACTACAAGACAACAAAACAGGCAACATCAACAGACACAAGACAGGGAGGTGAACAGGCAAGACGACATGAAGGGAGAGAAGGAGGGAAGCCAAGCCAGACCCAACAAGACAAACAAGGGAGGGATGGGAGGGCAAGACCAGGGAGGATCAGGAGGGACAGTCCAGGGTGGATTCAGTGGGTCGGGGGCCCCGGCAGGGAGCCAGGGTG